CCCCCCCCCCCCCCCCCCCCCCCGGTTCAAATCATGAAATTTTCCTAACAACTGTATTATCTGTTTGTTAAGTGCATTTCATGTTGTAACAAGATTTTTCTTTTTCTTTTCTTTTCTAAACATGGTACAAAATGATCCTTGTTTTATTCTTACTCTTTAAGATAGCACTCTTCGTTCTTTGACATATTGACTAAAACGTTTGTTTAAAAGTGAGCAAAGATATTTTCGTAACATCTTTGGCGACCAAGAAGCGATATCCTTTGACATATAACATAGCTGTTAACAGTGCGCGGTTACATGGGAACACACCGTCCACAGACAGTAGGTGGAAGGAAGTGTTTTAAAAAATTGGAAATATGTCGTATTGCTGCTATGATTTGATAAAATCCTAACGAATCGGACACAATTTGGGACAATTTATTTAAGTTATGTTCTATGAAACGACTAAGTTTAGTGGACCCTAGAAGTAAAACCTTTTTTTTCTGAAAAATAAAACAAATACATTTTGTAGAACAAAAACAATCACGCAATCAAACTTCCTAAATATCAATCGGTAATTTAATGTATCTTTTAATGTTTATGACAATTTGAGTTTCTTAAACAGTGTCAAAAAAGATGGCTTTCTGCTTTTTATCAGTCAGAAATTATCTTGCTATGCTACGACAGATTTAACGTTGGGAAGTTTTGTATAACTGCAATATAGCTAGCTGATTACAAAAAAACTTTTCCATTGCTCGAGAGACCAAAATTATTTTCTCGAGAGACAACCTGTCTTAAAAGACCACTGTAAAACTTTTCCATTGCAGTTATTTTCATGTAAACTGGACCTGTAATTTGGTAAACCACCTGCAAAGAGACACCATTTTATGTACAATGTACTTCCTGAGTGAGGTTTTCTAATACAGGTCTGAACGTCAATATATATTTTTCTCATCATTAATTGTGCTATAACAGCAAATACTGGCTGTAGCCGACGTGTTTCACGTCATACCTTGATTAAAACAGAATGAAATCTACACACGGACGTGTTGTTGCCTATCTCTGTTAAATCGTTGTTGCTTTATCTTGATTTTCACGCTAAGGTTTTGGTAGGAAATATTACGCATGCGCACAGACAGTATGTCCGAGCCTTTCCCTTTTGTGATTATAAACAAGATTAAACTCTAAGCTTGATACCTAATTATAGATTAATTGGTTATTTGAAGATAAGTATTGTTCAATATCGTTCACACAGATAAGTAGATTATTCAATGGTGTATTTCCTTCTTCGATCTCTGGGAACATACGACTAGAATGAAGTCTAGATGCTTATGTTATCGTAACCGCTATCTGGCGGTGAAAAATGAACAATCTAAAGACACTCCTGGAGCTTAGTTACTGCTATTACAATGTTATTGTTTCCAATCATTTCTTCCTGGTTTTTTTTTCTCTCTTTACACAAATTACACAAATTTGTCGGTGGACCTCTGACATGTAATATAACCTCTTACAAGGCAAATCACGACCCAGTATCAACAGATGCGTTCCTACATTTTGTCAGAGTTATCTCCCTTCAACTATTTATTCTTGTATCTCTATCGTTGAAGTCTTAATTGCACGTCACACAATGATATCATACAGGACCACCGATATTATTAGCGGCTCATCAACACAATGATGTCATACAGGACCACCTATAATATTAACGGCTCATCAACACAATGATGTCATACAGGATCACTAGGTAGTCTTTACAGCGTATCAAAACTATAAAGTCATAAAGGAACACACAATAGTCTTAATGGCTAATACACACAATAAGGTCACATAGGGGCCTACGGTAGCCGATCAACTCAATGAGGACAAACGGGGTCACATTTGAGTTAATTGGGTAAAAAATCGTCTGTACATGTATTTTTAGAATGTCAAAATGATAATAATGAGGACGTTGAAATAGATAGCATCGCTTTTTGAGTTTGTATCCTCTAATTAGTTAATTAATTAATTAATTAATTATTTTTTCTTTCCTTCTTGTATTTAATCATCTTTTATTTTTCGTGGAGTCAACATCATGTACCAAATCATTAATTGAATTAATTTAATAATTATTAATGAGTTCTTTTTAATCTTTTCAGTTCTCCTCTCAGAAGATGTATGGCACCATAAATCTAACAATTGCAGCCATCTGTATTTACTATCTGCCGAGTGCTTTGGCGGATCTCGAGTTCTCGTGTTCAGCTGACGCCACGGAGCGTGAGGGTACATGCGGCTCGCACCTCGCCGACACCATATCCCTCATCTGTGGTGGAGTATTCAATATGCCGGATAAGAGGGACGGCCCCGCAATACGAGGTACACTGCTAGAGTTGTTTCCCTTTGATGTATTTAATTATGGTTGCACTGTAAAAGAGGTCATTTAAATACTGCTATTCCTCCACCAGAGGTCGAACCCATTACCTCTGGTTTACTAGTCTAACGCTTTACGAATACGCTGAATAGAAATTAGCCAAAGGCAAGTTGGTAGGACGAGGCTAGTGTTTTACCGAGGTGACAACACAATGACCAATAGGACAGGCAATGACCCATAGGAAAGGACAAATGATAGTTAAATACTTTTGTGTTTGTAATGGACGATTTCGAAAATTTAAGTGTCTTTCAAAAGGATGGTTTCATTTCATTATTATTTAGATGTTAACTTGTTGCAACTAATTGAAGCCGTGTTGACTCCGCCAATGTGCCGTTAGACTGCTTATTATTGGAATAACGGCGTTGTTGAGCGAAACTATAATGTAGATAGATAAATATGTATATACACAATTTTTGTTGTACCTCTTCTCAGGGGCATCTCAAGTTAATACGTGCAGCACCGGGGGGAAACTGTCTGGATATCATTACCAGACGGCACCAAGTATCGAATGGAAGGGGTGCCACTGAATGCTATGCTTTCCATATGTATAGACGTATTGACCATGGTTTGTTTCCTTCCGCAGCCAATCCCTGGTCACGGTTCCGGAGCATTGTATTGGGGAAGAGAGACACGCAGCGCGCCCTGGTGGACAACAACGAGGACTGGAAAGACACAGTGAAGGCTCTAGACAAAATTAAACGAAAAAACATAGCGAAGCTTAAAAAAGTATCACTGACAAAGCGAAATGCGTTTCAATACATATCTACCTTACGAGTATCTGGTGTCGTGTGTGAGTGCTGTGTCCATGACTGTGATTGGTTCGAATTCTCCCAATACTGTGGAAAGTAGGAGCTTCATTGAATGAGTTTCCGGCGGAAGTGACGTCATACAGAGAAGAAAGTGATGATGAGAACCAACAAACCGCCGTAAAGTGGACAGAACTAACATACACTCAATCACACTTTCGGGTCACAATCATCATCATCCTCACATTGTTGGATATGAACGCCTCTCCGAAATATTTTCCAATAATTTATGTCTGTGTACTAGTTTATTGCAGATGTTTTTTAAGCGTGTGCCACTTCAATAACTCAAACACGAGACAGGTGGTTCAGGCAAACGCAAGGTTTAATTATGTATGCTGCGATAAGAAACTAGTGAACTATCTTTTCTGAATGTTACATCAATCTTGTCCAGTTTTAAATCCATTAACTATATCAATTCTCCAATGAACACATGCATTGGCAACAATGTTACGAAACCTTCGAAGGGAGATAACCCCTACACAAATCACAGATGCAACTTGTAAGGGTAGTATACAGCCTCAAACTGGTTGTGTAATGCGAAATTAACAAAATATCCCTGAAATCGTTGGAGATATATATTCGATGAATATTTCAGTTATCGAGTACAAATTTGGATATACTTTCATGTTGTCGTATTTGAGTGATTGAAGTTGTCTGTCTGAGTATTGTAGGTTTGATAGTTATATATATATATATTTATATACCAAAAGGTAGCTAGTCCAATGCGTCCAGAAAGAAATCGTGTTGTGATTTCGGCTCAGTTTGTACTGGGGACGAATTCTAACATAGGATTTCAAATTAAGTGTCTATTCGAAATACCTATACGATTGTAGCTCAGACCTGGTGATTGTTTTGGACCAATCCAAACCACCCGCTTTTCTGGTACGCACTGCACGTGTGCACGTAATATGATAATCTCCGGTCTTATAACACGCGCAGTCCTGACGTCATCATGTTCAAATAACGTTTGTGTTGATGCCGTCAGAAAAAGGACAAGACCTTCTACCTAATAATATGGTCGAAATGTACAATATGTTAGGAGTCTGATTAAAAAAAGAAACAATGTCATCTGAAGCTAACAAAACGGTAATAGTAATAGTTATCCTTGTTTTGCAAGTTTCTCTTTAGAACGTCCCCGTTTCCGGCGGTGGCCCCTTCCTTACCCCTCCTAATAACACACTGGTACACGTTGATGTCTGTCTTTATGTCCGCTTCTAGTGTCAACTGTTTGGAGGCCTTGTTATGTCCTATTGTCCGTATTTTGTAAGCTTTACATATTGTATAAACTAATCTCTACAAAACTTCATTTTCATTTTAATATCAAACATATATACTGATTAGCGATGTATTTCAACACGCATCGTCAAGTTTGCATTCTAAGTACATATTTACAAAAAGAAGATTCTTGAACTTGAACAACCCTGTGAATTAAGTGGTTTTGGTGATACTTACTGTTAAATAAAAATTTCCGGGTTTGTATTTTCCATTTAAAAAAATACACCCATGGAATTGTTGAGGCCCTCATTTCTATTACATGGCGGAAGGATATGGACCATAGTGAGGCCTGTTTGAGTACACATCACGTCCAAGTAAAATATCCTGGCGCGGTCCCGGTAAACATATAGTTTAATGATATTCTTGGTAAAATGACTGTTTTGACTGAAGAGAAACTCCTATTTATGTATATTCTATTTGCATGTACGATGTTAAACACAAAAAACGTTTGTAATAAACTAGAATAGAGGTATATTTTATCCAGTTCTCTTTGGACTGGAATCACGCGTCTGAGAGTAGATCGGAAAATGTTTTGTATGTCATCATCGGTTGAATGAAATAGAAAGTGAATCAAGATAACGATCACAAGCTGTTCTCATTGGTTGAATGCAAATAAACGCCTCTTGCTGGCTTGACTTACTGACGTGTTTGGTTGTACTGTACACACACTTGAACCTTATTTTTCCGGAATTTCGCTCCATGAACACTGATACAAATTGTTTTATTCCGAATTTTATCGTGAAAAACAACTTAACCAGTTGCCACTGTACGGAACGAGAGGACGTTTGTTGTCCGTCTGTCCTCCTGTCCGTTAGCTAGCTGCTTGTTCGTACTATTTTGAAATAATCTTATAAAAGTATATACATTTGTACACAAATGTGGGTCACTTCTCAGTTTTCTATATTGAACTCGTTGACGAAAGCTTTATCGAAGTTACCTATCAGTGCATTGATGAAATATTGTTAAAAGAAACACATTCTGTTAAATTTGAAGGGTAATCAATTTCTGTTATCCTGTTGACCCATATATAGAAATACAATATATCGATATTTAACAAAATATGTTCTCATGAATTTTCAATTCACTTATTTTAAAGTTTCAATTACATATATCTGGAGTATATTACTTCGTCCTAGTTGAATCGAAACGATTTTCAAATTCTGTCATACTGACTAACTATTGTGACATCAACTTCCGGGTCAACATTACAGAGCAAAGGTACCAAAATATGATGTCAAACAGTAAACTCCTTCTAAAACGTTAAAAAATGTCTCGTGCAATAAAACAATTATCAAAATATTTCGTCACTTCAATCACAGGTGCATCGCTCACAGCAGATTCTTTATATATAGACAAGAGTAGAGACCGGTACCCGTAGGATCACGGATCGCTGAAATAAGATAAAAGAAAAGGTATGCAGGTCGGGGCAGCCATCTTGGACATCAAATCAGCTTGAACATACCACCACTTACCTAAGATCAAAGACGTACATACCAAGTTTCGGTGGTCGTATTTGAATTTCAATCGGTCATGCTACATAACCCCTTGCTAAGGACAAACCATAAGTGGACAAAGAAATGAACCAATATGGGTTCGGTGGATATGGAGAAGGTCAAATTCGGAAGTAGATCTTTCATAGGAGTTGCTTTTACCAAAGGAAAAGACGATGTAAACAAAGTCTCAGTCAAGTAACAGTCGATGCTGTTCAAACTCTGAAAACATTAGATTAATCAACTGATCAAGTAACAGTCGATGCTGTTCAAACTCTGAAAACATTAGATTACTCAACTGATCAAGTAACAGTCGATGCTGTTCAAAATCTGAAAACATTAGATTACTCAACTGATCAAGTAACTGTCGATGCTATTCAAAATCTGAAAATATTAGATTACTCAACTGATCAAGTAACAGTCGATGCTATTCAAAATCTGAAAACATTAGATTACTCAACTGATCAAGTAACTGTCGATGCTATTCAAAATCTGAAAATATTAGATTACTCAACTGATCAAGTAACAGTCGATGCTATTCAAAATCTGAAAACATTAGATTACTCAACTGATTTAGTAAAACTACTGCGCCGCCTTGTTTAGCATATACAAAAACTGTTTAACCTGTGTTCCTGTCTTCAGCCGATACGTTTCATATCTATACAAACTGTTTTGAACTTCAGTCATAAGAGTTATTTAGTCTATCAGGTTTTAAACCCATGAGACCAATTGCTGACTTCGATAGCAGAAGCAACGCGTAAATTGTTTGTGCTTAGGTTCAAAGGTCAATGCAACATGTGATCATTTTGCTTATTTTCTGAACATCATCATCAGATGCTTGTATGCTCAAATAAGGAGATAGAATGTTGTTATGAGTGTCTATCCTGGTGATTAGAACATAAAATTTGGTTTGAACGCGAGCCTCAAGAGTTAAAACCGAATTTCGTTTTCTAATCGCAAATTTAAACTCAAAATTGAACGTATTATCCCCATTCAAAACAACTTTACAATACTTCTTTCATATTTTTAGAAATCATTATATTGATCTCACCTCAACAAATCTAATAAATTGTGATAAAAGACTGTAAAGTTGGCTTCCATGTTCCCATCACGTGACTTCTACAGCGAATTCAACCATCAAAAAGTATAATCTTTCAGCCGGAGTGCCAATCTCTGATTTTGATAAACTTAGAATTTGAAAGTTAAATTGTGTTATCACTTTTTTTTTTTTATCAAATCTACAAATAGGTTTTCCTCTGTACTTAGTTGTGCATGTTCATTTTAAGACTAATCGGAAGAATAAGATCGCTGCTAGGCGATGATTTTCAAATCGACAGATACACTTTCTTATCGCTATTTCTTAGAAAGTTCCGATGAGATGTATGTTCATATTCGTGCACACTTTTGCATGTTCCATTTTAAACTTGATATCGAAAGAAAAGACAGCCATATTAAACTTGAACGTTGGAATTTGTTATGTATATATGTTATTTCTCAGAAAGTATATCACAAATCTTGCTCAAATTAACACAGCTGTATGAAGATTTGTCGGAAGGGCGCCACATACTTGAGTTACTATTGACATGACTAGTAATGCTAAAGGAAAGACAAAAGAACAGAAAATAAGAGACTTACTTGGAACTCATGACAAACTTACGGTGGAGGGTGCCAACATCCCTCTAGGATGTCTCGTTGTGAGATACCACTGACTTGCTTATGATTGGTAGGTCACACACTTTGCTACACAATCACGTAAATATGAATTTTGACCAACTGACCAAGCTGCTGCGGCCAAATATCACGGATACGAGGTCACTTGGTGAAAGAAGAAAGCAACATGTAAAATAGGATGGCCCGAGACAAACTGTAATCACATCGCCATTGAAGTTTCACCGATAATTGGGACACCATTACCTCTGGTAGCTGTGATAGATCTAAAGCGTAACAAAGCAGGAACGAACTCCTATTGTAATCAACGGGATTGAACAAATGTATCATCGGCCAATCGAAAGGACAGAACTTATTCTGATAGTAATCACAAGAGAATCTGTCATTTGCCCAAGTAGAAGGACAGTACCAACATCTAAAAGGGGCGTGTAACATTTCATGGACCGAAAGCGTAGCACCCGTGTGACACTTATTGGTCATGGCTGGTACTAAGTTAACCTCTTAATCGGTCAATTGGCCAATCTATAGTGTGAATGCTTCTTAGGATGGGTCAAAAGGCTGTATTTTGGTTATAGATATTAATATGTTTGGACCAGGCGACATACATGAT